TCGGTCTTCGGTCTTCGGTCTTCGGTCTTTGGTCTTCGGTCTTCGTTTTGTAGCCACCCCCAAAACAAATCTGTGAGTAACGCCAACCGAGTGAATCCACTGGAAGCAAAACGCTGATTAATCACTCCGAACACCCCGATCACCCCAAAATTCGGCTTACTGTAATTTGCGAAACGAAATGAAAACCTGTAATTTGCGAAAAAAATTATTCTGAGACTCAAGAAAATAAAAGAGCTTGGATTAGTTACATTTTCCTAGCAAACATGATAGCGGAGCTCGCAGAGCGTAACCCCATAATTTAAATTGTACAAAATAGTAGTAACCCATCAAGCCGAAAAAATTTGGATGTACGACCGTGCGACCGTTTCATTTTCACTACATCATATTCCTCTACGCATCTGATTACATACAACTCCAACTACTACTCCATTGCTAGTTAAAACCAGCCTTCAGTCCCTCAGTCTGGGACTAGCAATTGTTATTTCTTTATGAAAGTTTAATAAGTTCTATGTAATGCATCAAAACAAACAAGAGAACAACTACAAATCAATACAGCCAACTTAAAGCGTTTTCAGAAAACTGCAGTTCACTGATATTTCCTTTGCTTTGAGTTACAAAGGTGCTAAACAGTAGGAAACCTCTGGCTTTCAAACTTTAAGGCAATATCCAAGCTTTAATTGAAATTATTCTCTGGGGAATGAATTTTTGGGAGCTGTAACATCGCCAGGTGTACAGTTGCTTATGGCATGGAAGCTTTCTCATCATCATCAGGAATATATATTAGCACAATGTTGTGAGGGAGACCATAAGGTGGAATTGATTGAAAGCCAGTAATGAACTGCAGCAGACATACGAGTTTCTCCTCACCAGCATTACATAATCCATGAACCAGTCATAGGAATGTAGCTGGGCAAAGTCAGAGGGCCTTTGTACACTGGCATCAAAGAGATTATTAAATTCATCAGGAGTGAGGGTTTGCTCAATAGAATTACAAAGCAGCTTAAAGCAGACTTCCTTGTTGTTCTTTGTGGCATCTAGGAACTCCAAATTCTTGAGACCTTCAGCGAATGAGTCTATCTCAAACTTCCTGAACGAAATTATTTCAGTCACCAGTAGGTTTTGTACAAGATGTGCCATATTCTTATCTGTTATCTTCTTGGTTATTGGCCAGTGAGAGGCATTTATTGCTGACCAGAAGGACTCAGAGGAAGGATGGTTGTGAAGGACTTTAGAAACATCTCCCTCCTGCAACTTATCCAGCAATTCATGCAAAAGAGCAGTTTCTTCAATTAAGGAGAAAAAAAAAATTAAAACCTATCAGAAATGTTCCATTGTCACTTTATATGCCATATGGATTAACCTTTAACTCCCAAGATCTCATTAGTAATTCTCCTTACTGTCTGCCATATAGTTCTTGTGATGTTAGTTTGGAGAATTTGGTATAGGACCACATAATAATCCCCTAATTAAGATTTTTCTTTCTTCTCGTCACTTGTCTGTTTGATACTGTATTGATATTGTAAGGAGAAATTCTGTCTTGGTCACTCATGGGAGCTAAAGGGTTAAGAGAGGAAATAATTCACTTGCCCTTTGATTCTGTTAGTGTCAAAGCTCTATTAGGAAATGACCATTATTTTTGAGAAAGGGTGGGGGGAGGTTGGGCAATTTTTTTGTTGTTGTGGTAATTGCCCAACCCTCCGCTCAAAAAAATATAGTCCATCCCTAAGCCCTGTTTCTAACAAGCTCCTTGTTTGGAAGTATAATTTTTTAATAACCCCTCTCTCTATAAACCTGCCTCTTCCCTATACGAAGTGTACAAAACTAACTACATTCCAATGTTTTTGTGACCATAAATGTAACAAAAACTGTAAGTACACTAAAGTACCTGCATGTGCCTCTGAACAACAATTTCTATCTGGTGTTTGGGGGAATCTGGAAACATTTCAGACAGTTGATCCACCCACAACCTTGTTTCTGTCTGTGTAACATATCTGAGAGGAGAAATCTGTCACTCCTGGGCTGCTTTTCCCCCTGTTTTTCGCAGAGATTTAGGTAAGAAACCTCAGGAGGGGTGATGGCGTTATTAACGATAACATATCAACATTTTCTCATCGTCAACCACAGTCACACTATCAAATACATCCTTCTCTCCAGCTGTATGACCAAAGTTTCACCATTTTTCAACATGCATTGGCATTTGAATTTCTAAATTTTAAAATAACAACTGAAAAAATTATGAAAAAACTAAGAGGGTTTTTCATACTTTTGCGCTCTTTTGTCTTTGAGACTTTTCTTCAGTCAGTCCTTGTTGCTGCAAAAAAAAAAAGATATATATATATATATGTAAATATGTATATTTTATGATCATTTAAAGAAGAGTCTACTTCCAGCTGCTCAACCAACAGAATCACAAGGCAGTGATAAAAATGCAAAACCCACTGGTAATTGACATGCACAGGTCAAACTTCCATCAAATGATCTACATTGGACGCCCTCTATGCGTAACTAGAGTATATATACACTGGAAAACGGAATCTAGTTATTTATCTATTTTCATAACTTTTCTGGCTTTCTACATCCACTTTCTAATAGCAAACTATTCTTAATAAATTAAAACATGAGGTTTCCATCCTCCATGGTTCAGTGCAATATATGGATTTTTACCTGTAACTTTGGAAGACATCAGATTCTGCACTTCCTATAAACAGACAACAAAAATATTATTAGGTCAAAAAAAGTAACATGATAGTGGCATACTGCCATAGATCTGAAATAACACTGCACATCATTCATGTAGATTTGGACATCAAGAATACCGACAATAAATTCATGTTGATGAATCCTCACTATAAATTTATAAAAATGTTTTCTTCCCCTTTTTTCCATAATACTAAAGATGCGAGTTTTTTTGCAGGATATGACTAAAGTAAAAGGGAAGAGAGGAGAGAACAGGAAACATCTTATATGGCTGACTACAATAACAAAAAATACCTCTTGTTTCTCTTAAGCATCACTCACTATTATTGCATCTGAGAAAGTTCAAAAGCTTCTTTAAATGCATTCTTTTTGATAGTTTTTTACTCCAAATAAATCACTGTCTAGAAGACACATAAAAAATTGAACTTTGA